AACTGGAGAAAGGTTCACTAGATTTGAAACACTAACACTACTTTCTCTCCACAGATGTTGCCAGACGTGCTGAGTTTCTCCAGCAATTTTTGTGACTGAATATATGAGAATGTGGTAAACACCTGACATGATTTCCAACAACTTCACATTTGAGAAAAATAAATGGTCAGTCCCATGGATTGCTATCCTACTTGTATGTATAAAAATGTAGGTCACAATCAGTAAGAGATCACCCTCTGGTATTCTTTGGTGCTATTATCACAACTTAAAAGTTTTTTTAAAAAGCTGAAACGCTTTCAATTAGGGGCAGCTAAAGGTGACTTAAGATCTGCAAATGATATTGGTATTTTGAATTTCATTGAGCTGCACGTGACCACCAGATGTCACAACATGCCTCATTGCAAATGAAATGCAGTCACTGTTGTGTTATAGGAAACCCCTACAACGGTAAATGTGTTAATAACCAGACTGAACATCTACCTGGCACTGAGCATAATTGCCTCCGTATGTTCTGCCCACAAACAGCAGGACATGCCCAACCCAGGCAATTACTGCCATATGAGCCAACTCTCGATCATGAGCAAAGTGATGGAAATGATTATTGACAATGCTGTCATGCAGCATTTTATTTGTTCATGAGATGTGGACATCATTGGTTAGGCATTTATTTCCCAGAGCTGTTAATGTTATGGATCCAGAGTTATACGTAGGCCAGACTTAGTAAGAATGGCAGATTTCCTTCCCTAAAGGACATTAGTGAACTAGATGAATTTTTAATGACAATCAACTATAATTTAATTTAAGATTGTTTTTATTGAGTTCAAATTTCACTGTCTGCCATAGTGGCATTTGAATCCATATCCCCAGAACATTTTCCTGGAGTTCTGGATTACTAGGCCAGTGACATTTCCACTATGCCACTACCTCGCCAAAATGATAGCATGCTCATTAACACTCAGTTTGAGTTCTTATAGAGCCACTCAGCCCTTGACCTCATTACAGCCTTGGTTTAAACATGGAAAAAAGAGCTGAATTCCAGGCATGAGATGAGAGTGACAGCCCTTGACATCAAAATTGCATTTGACTGAATGTGATGTCAAGGAGCCCTAGCAAAACTGGAACAGGGGAGATCAGGGGGACAACTCCCCAATTTGAAATCATACCTTACACAGTAGTTAAAAGTTAGTTATAGTTTTTGAAGATCAATCATCCATGAGTTCCTTAGGCTAGTATCCTGGGCCCAACCTTCAGCTGTTTCATCAATGACCTTCTCTCCATTGTAAGGTCGGAAATGGGGATATTTGTTAATGATTGCACAATGTTGAGCACTATTCATGATTCCTCAGATAGTGAAACAGTCTGAGTCCAAATACAGCAATACCTGGATGATATCCAGGCTTGGGCTTAAAAGTGGCAAGCTGTGCACCACACAAGTGTCAAACAGTGACCAACTCCAACAAGAAAAAACCTAACAATCACCCCATAAGAATCAATTACATAGCCATCACTGAATTCCCCACTAACAACATCCTGAGGGGTTACAATTGATGAGAAACTAAACTGAACTGGACTCATATTTGTACTGTGGCTACAACAGCAGGCCAGAGACTGGGAATCTTGCAGTAAGTAATTCACCTCTGACTCCTCAAAGCCATCTACAAAGCACAAATCAGGAGTGTGATTGAATACTCTCTGCTTGTCTGGATGGATGTACGGCCAACAGCACCCAAGCTCGACACAACCAGGACAAGGCAGCCCACTTCATTGGCACCCCATTCAGCACCTTCAACATTCACTGTCTTCAGCATCAACCACCAATGCATGGTAACCGCTGCATGTACAACCTATGAGATAGACTGCAACAACTCAGCAACACTCTTTACACAGCACTTTCAAACCCATGTCCACTCCCATCTAGAAGGATAATGGCAACTGATGCATGGGAATACAATCACCTGCAAGTTCCCCTCTAAATTACACACCATCTTCTCATGGAACTATATTGCCATTCCCTCACTGTCATGGAGTCAAAATGCAGGAATAATTCCTTATCATTTGGGACAAACGTTAACAGGTCACTGAGAATCATTGCCCTGCTCTTCTTCAATGGATAGCCATGTGTTTCTTTACATCTACACAAGCAGAAAGATAAGATCTTGATTTCACATCTTATCCAAAAGAATAGCACCCCCAACAGTGCAGTACAGTCTTTGCTCTAGAGTATCAGCTTTGATTTTTGCTCTCATGTTTTGAATTGGATGTCATCCCCAGGATCTTGTGAATCACAGGCAGGAATGTTCCTCACCAAGGCACAAACACCAAAATTCTGAATGGGGAATTAGATTTGGCTCTTGCAGAATTAGAGAAAAATCAGCAACATCTGGAAACAAAGACTAGCAATTTGGAAGGAGAAGGATTGTTACAGGTAAGGAAGCAAGTATAAAGTGGAAAGTGGGGAAAAAAGGCATAGCAGAACAAGCACAAGAGGAACAGAGTCAGTACGAGCCAGGAGAGCATGAGCTTCAATACAAGCATGAGCCTGGGATAAAACCCATATTCCCACAATTTGACAAAGGAGACTCAAAGGATACATGACCAGAGTGTAAGTCAAATTAATTCAGCATGTTTGCAGATTGATCAGTGGTACAATGTTCATTATGATTTGGTTGAAACAGTTATTCTTACAGTTTCTGACATGACGCCTCAAACTTTAAATGTATAAACTAAAAATATTGAAAGCCACATTTATAAAGAACTGGAAGATGATCTCTAAGCTAATTTACAAAGATGGAGAAGCTGAATAAAATTGAGCTGAGGTCATTGCAAACTGAGTAATCCAGAATAAGCACCTTTCATTTCCACCATTTGGTGTGAACAGATAAATTCTATTTGATGCAAATAAGTCATTGACAGATAATTAATATTTACCATTGACTGGTAACAAAATCAGAAAACACTCCTGGAATTATTCTATTTGAGAACAAATAGATTTCAATCTGTGAATTACATGAGATAAAGAGGAATTCCCTTCCCTCATTCTGGTTAATGTTAGCCAAGTGTGTCAGTCCTATATTGATATTTACAGGGTTGCTCAGAACAGGCATAGCATTTGAGGGGTGGCATGGTGGCTCAGTGGTTAGCACTGCTGCCTCACAGCACCAGGGACCCAGGTTCAATTCCACCCTTGGGCAACTGTCTGTGTGGAGTTTGCACATTCTCCCCATGTCTGCATGGGTTTCCTCCCACAGTCCAAAGGTATGTAGGCTAGGTGGATTGGCTATGCTAAATTGCCTGTAGTGTTCAGGGAGGTGTAGGTTAGGTGGGTTATAGGGGGATGGGTCTGGGTGGGATGCTCTGAGGTTCAGTGTGGACTTGTTGGGCCAAAAGGCCTGTTTCCACACTGTAGGGATTCTATGAAGTGAAGAGAGGGGTTCTCATTTTGCTCTCCAATCTGCTAATGCTGGATGCTGTAGTTGGGGTCTTAAATTTAAAAATATTCTATATCTCAACACACAACACACAACAGGCTGATGAAGTAAGGAAAAAGAGAAACAAAGCCTTTATTTGAAATTTTTTTTTGAACTGAAAATAATATTTTAAACATAGGCCTTGTTAAAATATTTCATGCACGCACTACAGAAATTCTATGTTTCTATGGAATCTTACATTTTAACTAGTCTTATGATGTGGATTGTGCATTCAACAGCACACATGATTCCAGAAGGAACAAACACGCTGGATACTTTCCACGTATCTGACTAAAAGTATAATGGCACGTATAAGAACATGAGAACTAGGTGCAGGAATAGGCAATTCAGCCCCTTGAGCCTGCTTTGCCATTTAATATGATCACAGCTGATCTCATCTCAGCCTCAACTCCACTTTCCAACCTGTTCCCCATATTCCTTCAACCCGTTACTAATTAAAAATCTATCTTCTCTGTATAATTTACTCAATACTCAGCATCCACCACATTCTGGGGAAGTGAATTCCACAGATTCACAACCACAATTTTATAGAGGTTTATTAAATCATGAGAAGGATAGATAGGGTTAATGGTAGGTGTCTTTTCCCTAGGATGGGGAATTTCAAGACTCAGGCGCATAGTTTGAGATGAGAGAAGAGAGATTTAAAAAGACACGAGGGGCAAATGTTTTACACAGAGGGTGGTTCGTGTGTGGAATGAATTTCCTGAGGAAGTGGCAGATGTTACAATGTTTAAAAGACTCTTAGATAAGAACATAAATAGAAAATGTTTGGAGGGATATGGGCCAGGACAAAGCAGGTGGGACAAGTTTAGTTTGGGATTATGTTGGACATGGACTGGTTGGACAAAGGGTCTGTCTCCGTGCTGTATGGCTCTATGACTCTACAAGTAATTTCTCCTCTGTTTTAAATCTGCTACCCCTTATCCTAAAATATAGCCAATTAAAAAGAAAACACCACACAGTTAAAGCTAAAAACAGTGCCTATCATTGTATGAGTGATATAATTAAATATGGGCAAAACTATCTTGATTTGAATCTTTCAATTAAGCAAGTGTTTTGTAACTCCCTCAGGGGTTAATTGTTCTATATATAGTTATGATATCTACAGGGGTTAGTTGAGCATTTATTGTTTACTGTGCATTCTCTAAGCCGTGCTCTCTATCTGGGTAAACTGATTTTCTGCTCACCTATACAAATATCAATCTAGTACAAGCATTACTGTCATGCAATTTTGGTGAGCTTCTGATATTGATCTTTTTAGAGAGGATCTACTGGATATTGATGCCTTGCTTTGAAGCATCATATTGCTGTTTTAACCACTGAGATGGATTCAGATCATCCATGGAAATGGGCAAAACCGCAACCGTGAAGAATATTCGTGGTTTAGAGTACACTCTTATTGAGAGAAGGTGACTGCATAAGGACACTAATTGAAAATACTTAATGTGGTTGCCGTTGGTACAGACTGGAAGAAAATAGCCTGTCAATAGGAGAAACCCTTGGGGAGTTTGTATCAGCTGGTGCAATCTGGATTTTCATGAAAAAGAGACACTAATTGGGCCATGGTAACCATGACCTTTAGTGCAAGTTGCAAAAACATCTGTGCTGTGGTCTGGTAACAGTAGGGAGTGAAATAGTTTCGTTTGGTTCGAACTTTGTATTTGCAGCTTGCCGGCCTCTCTAGTGTTGCATTTCAATGAAGGGCAACGCGTGCTACTTCGCCTTCCTGGGCAACAGCAAACTTATCTAAGAATTCAGGTCAGAAACACCCTGTCTCCTAGCAACACGAGGATAGTGGTGGCTTTCCTTCAGACGGAATCATCTAGTGGCAGAAACGGGATCGTTTGGCGGATTGCTGGAGTTGTACACACAATGTTGGTGATACCTTTGTCCTGTGCAGCCGAGTAAACTGCCCGGCAACTGGAAGGATCCTAACAATGTACTTCCACATTTGAGAAGTAGTTGTCAGTTCGAAACGTCGACCTTTCCTGAAACCGCTTTCGGATGGTGAGTATGTGAAAGGATTGACTCTATTTCTTTTCACAAAAAGCTGCCTCGTGTAGTGTTTGGAGGTAATGAACAGAACACGGTAAGGCACAATATTAGCATTTATACAATGCATTTCATACATGTGGCACATATCTTCCTTAAGGGACGACTTCTTTGCTGTTGTTGATCGGAAATTGTTCTTTGAAAGAGCTTATCTGTTATGGGGTTAGTGCTGGAAAGTCTTTGTTTACTGCGGGTAGCCAAACTAATCATGTTCCTCATTCTTAAGGTTGAGCAGGTCTGTAGGAAACACTGAAATTAACAATTGCCTTCTGTCATAATTCTGTGTGATAATGGCTTTACGTTAAATTACTGTCTCTCCTCAGCTATATGCAGAAAGGAAATATTTAACTAACACGGGTTTTATATTTGCTTTGTAGATACAGTACATTATAATAGTTTTATTTGCATTGTTATAGCACATCAGTCCTTCATTGTTTCTACTTGGAGCTCTCGCTTAAATGCACCTTGTGTGTTGTATACCGTGAAAAGCAACTGTCATAACTAACGCTATAAACTTTAGCCTTCAGAAAAAGACAGGGTTGTAATTGACTCAGATTCAGCAGCAGCTTGCACACGTTTTCTATAGAAAATATTCTTAAGCGCCTCACAGAGCTGAGATTAATGAGCCATTGAGCATTGATGAGTGGTCTGGAGTGTGGGGGATGGGGGTGGGGGTCTCCTGAGGCTACTGGTTGGAGGATATTTCCCAAGAAGTAATTGAAGGAGTTTGAGTGGGAAGTTTGGGCAGAATTTGGTACTGTGCAGGACTCCAATGGCTAGTGTGCACTCAAAAGGTGGGCAAGGATCATTGAAGGAATTGTAGAGGAGGCCACAATCCATAAGGCTGAGATTACAGGTCAAAGCCATCTGTTGTAAATGAGAAGTGATTTTTGAATTGGAAGGAGAATCTAGAGACGGTCTCAACACAAGGGTGAGAAGGGATCAGGAGTTTTTTTTTTAATGTGAAGGGTAATGATCCTGAATTTAACAAAGGCATAACAACACAAATAACAACCACTTGTATGTGTGCAATGTTTTGAATAGCTTGTAAATGAACCAAGGTGCTTTACAGGGGCATTGTAAACATCGAGTTTGTTACTGAACCACACAGGAACATATAGGTCAAGTGATCTGGAGCTTGGCATGGAGTTAGATTGCATTGAATCTCATCGGCCACCTATTCCACGCTGTCCACCTCCCCCAGTTTATAATTCTTACCAGTTAGTGTCATCTGCGCAATCAAAACCCATGGCCTCAGAGTCTTAGCCTCTGGATTACTTGTCCAGTCACTTACCATTGTGCATCATCTCCCAATAAAATCAGAGATAATAATGCAAAAAAAACTCCCAAAATTCCTCAGGGATCCTACAAGTCTCTCACTGTAGTTTCAGTGGGAGATCAATAGAAAGAAGAGCTGAAATGGCTTGCTTGTCGGATCTGCATCTACCTTTTACACAGAAATTGTGTTGTGGGGTGGAGCCATGCAGCTCCATTTCTCAGCTTGAACCTCTTCTTTCGATGAAGAGTGTAGGAGAAAGGTGTGAATTATGGTATGGTTGAACAAGTGGGAGAATGTGACTTTCCATTAAACATATCCACAGGGATTAACCAAATATTAGTTGATACAGCAACAGCTCTAAGGTCAGTGAGAGAGAAATACAGTTGGGTGCTATTGGTGCACAAGACCAAACTTATTACTTTTAAGACCTGGGTCAGAAATGTCTGTTTGGAAAAATAGATATTCTCACAATAGAAGTTTGATGCAGGAAATTCAGGTACAAAGTAAGCAATTTATGTAAGTAGAAAATTATGGTACTCTTCACACCCAATAAGCTTATTGATTACTTAAAAACTTTACCAGCATCAGGTCTGTAGTTATCCTATTCTAGACTATGCTGGTATTGTAAAATATTTTTGTAGTGAATCAGCAGGCAATTTTTCGCTCGTCCCAATTGTCTTCCCATTGAAGTTTACAGAGTAGTTAAGACACTTTTGGAGACTCATTATCTATTCTCACTGTCAGTTTTATATTTTTGAAATTAAAAATCCTGACAGTATTTTTCAGGTAAAAGAAACAGCAAAACTGGCATGACAGTGTTATACACTATGAATGACAGGTCACCATTTGCTACAATGTCATTTCACACTTGAGTGTAGATCAATTTCACAACCTATATATTTGGCTATATTTTGCAGTCAGCAGGAAACAAACAGCCCATGCATGAATCACAGAAAGCTAACATCCCAGTTCGGCAGGTAACAGGGAAGACAAATGGAATGTTGGCCTTTTTACAAAGGGAATGACAATAAGATATAGGAGCAGAATCAGGCCATTTTAGCCCATTCAGTCTGTGAATGGAGTATAAAGGGTTTTGCTAAAAATATTCAAGGCAATAGTCAGGCCACAGCTGGTGTGTTGTGAACAGTTCTGGGCCTCTTATCTAAGGAAAGATATACTAGCATTGGACACAGGACAGATAAGGTTCACTCAGCTTCTACCAAGAAGAGACAAACTGTCTTATGGAGAAAAATTGAGTAAGTTGGGCTTGTACTCATTGGAGTTTGGAGGAGTGAGAGGCAATAACATGCAAGATTCTTGGGGGACTTGACAGGATAGATGTAGAAAGGTTGTTTCTCCTTGTGGGAGACCCTTAGAATAAGGAATCACAGAATTAAGACGTAAATGAGGAGGAACTTCTTCTCCGAGGGCAGAGAATCTGTGGAATTCTTTACTGCAGAGGCTGTCAAGGTTGTGTCATTGGGAATATTCAAGGCTGAGTAAGGGAATCAAGGGTTTATGGGGATGAGCAGGAAAATGGATTTGGGGATTATCAATCAGCCATATTCTCACTAATGGTAGAGTAGACGCAATGGGCTGTATAGTCTACCTTTGTTGCTATGTTTTATGGTTTCACATATAATTACGTATACATTTGACTTTCTTTTGCCTTTCGTGCAGATATATGGTAATAAGAAATGAAGAAGGATGTGACATCTGTGTTCAGTAGCCCTGATTTTACAGTATGAACAATGGTGAGGTTATCAGTGCTCATCGTTCTAAGGGAGTAAACTGAACACCAGTCTCAGATGTCTGAACTGATACTATTAAATAGGAAATAACAAATTTGCTGACTGAGATGCCCTGTTCCTCCAGATCCTAGTTGAGAAATTGGAACTGTAAACATTCAACAGCTTGATGTGTTTGTATTTACCTACTGAATACCCACTAAACATGTCAGAAAAGTTGGATGTCCATTCAAGTATAAATAAATTTTTTGAAACTTTGGGAATATTTAATTAATGCTAGATAAACTCTAACACTGAAAACTTAATTTCACAAGTGCAGTATCACATTCCCTCAGATTTTAATTGTTTGTAATTTATTTAATATGATCTTTCCACTTTATATTTCTCTTTCTTTTATCTCAATCTTATCTTTCCTTGCTTCTCTTTGTTACAGGTTCTGTACAAAGTTGAAGGCTGACATTTACTATTGTAAGCTGTGCATGCATGGTTAGAAATTCTCCAGCCTGACAAGTTGAGGAGATCTGGCATTATCTGTCCTGTTTGATTTTGTTCTCTCCCCTTTTTACCCTTGCACAACTCGGATATACTTCAGAGGCAGTAACTCCTGTCCCTCCACAAGGTCATTTTCATCTGGTCATTAACAACATTATAACCAAGCTATGGGATTTCCTTTTGTTAATTATAATAAAAAACATCAATGTATTGCAGAAGGCGATGGCCTAGTGGTATTATTGCTGGCCTGTTAATCCAAAGACCCAGATAATGTTCTGGGAACCTGGGTTTGAATCCTGCCGCTGCAGATGGTAGAATTTGAATTCCATTTTTAAAAAATCTGGAAGTAAGAGTCGAGTGATGACCAAGAATCCATTGCCGATTGTTGGAAAAACCCATCTGGTTCACTAATGTTCTTCATGGAAGGAAACTGCCATCCTTGCCTGGTCTTGCCTTCATGTGACTTCAGACCCACAGCAATGTGGTTGACTCTTAACAGCCCTCTGGGCAATTAGGGATGGGCAATAAATGCTGCCTGGCCAGCGATGCCCTCATCCCATGAATGAATACAAAAAAGTTTTCAGTAGAAACCACAATCAAAGAAACCCTTTATGCTTGAGATGTTGCATAATAACCCAAAGAGACTTTTCTCCCATAATAAATCCATTTTGTTCCACATTGACAGCTAGAAGGATTATTTTTTGAGTGAGATTTGAAAGGAGGCTCTCTGAACTTGGCCAAATCTATTTGCCCATTGACATTTCAAGCAGGAAATGAACAAGAAATCGTCTGATACAAATGTGAAAAAAATGATATTTAAAGTTTATTTTCTGCTTTGCCCCATGAAAAATAAAAACAAACTTTCAAGGAAAAGATTGAGTTGAAATCCGGTCAAGTCAATGTATGATACCAGATGAGTGGTTATGTACAATGTATCAGCACAGCAGGCCATAGACTAGCCAGAGGGGGGAATTGTGTGGACATTAAGTAATGAGAGAGGGAGACAGCAGCCAGTGCTTATTTGTGTCTGTGTTTCTCAGGCCTTATTATAATTTTATCAAGTTCAGTATTTTTCATAACCATGCGACATGTTTTATTCCAGGAGTTTATACATAAATATTTAATAGGCATTAAAAGATGGAGCACAGAAATAGTTACCTTTCTGATTAATTTAGCCAAAAGACATCTGTTCAAAATAGAATAGTCCAGATTTTGCTTTTGTAACACATTGTGTAACAGCATGTGCTGAATCAAGCTCATTAGATTTCCACGTGCATGTTTAGCTTTTTACATTTTTTTTTTGGAGTGACAAGTTGCTGGAAGTGTAAAAGGATAACTGAGAGACCAGACCAAGAAATTATACATGTTCTCAAGTAAGCATATTAAAGGGTTGTGAAGTTAACAGCATAATGGACTGAGAATGAAAGTGTACGTTC